CTACTATGGCAGACGACTTCGGACTAGGTGCGTTCTATATGGTCTCCCTGAAAACAAGACCAAGTTGCGAAATACAACTTTGTTTCATTGGGAATCCCACCACACACTGGGATATGGCCTTCCTTAAAATTTATATATGTCCTGTGGTCCAAGGGTACTCATGACAATATGGTATAGTAGTTAACGTGTCGAAGTTGCACACTGCACTATCACGGATCGAGTCCCGCTGAAGGTGCTGATGAGATCCAGACGAAGTCGAAACTGCAAGTCTATGTGGAATTCAACAGAAACCTAGGGCCGTATATCATTGTGGTAAAATTCAATTACCATTTCTGGCTCACCTTAAACGAAAAATTGTAGGTCTGCCTATAATTTAATCACCACAACTACAAAAAGACGACATATTTGATGAAATTAGGTCAAAGCAATTCTACTCGGCAGGTTTGAAGAAATTGTCGTGAAAATGATTTCTGGCTTTGAGGCGGTTGGGTATTTGAAGGATAAGAAGACTTCATCACGTTTTCACTGGAATTGAAAGGGTGATTGAAGATCAAATAACAACGGGTTAAAATGACCCCAAATCTCTTTTCTACCCACTTCCACACGAAATACAAATTAGCATATCAAAGACCATATATGAGTTCTAGTGACTCTGAGTGCTTTCTGGTTGCTGCTTGGGTGGGTCGACTTTGTGAACTCTTTGGTGCCGAAAGCTCCCAAGACGATCAAATGGCACAGGAAATGTGCTTTAGTCTCATATACGCGACAATAATTATGCTTGTTTCTATGCGATTTCCAGCCCAGGTCTTCCCTCGACTTGCCTGATTTTGGAGTCGCCTATTTCGAAAATTTTGGGTCCGTGGTCCGAAAGGCTCTCCTCTCTTTGAGCAAACGATTCTGCTCGTCATTACGTGTTGTGATGGTGCTTATCTGTGCCAAAATCTATGCTCAAATATTTAACAAACACAGACAGACCGGTCAGGTAGCAAGAAGCCTGGGTGTTGAAAGTGCCATTGGGACTTCATTTACAATTGCCCCGCCTCCCAATTCCCTTGCTGCCCCCTTCTGCCCCTCTGAACCACATGAGTTCCTCTCCTCAACATGAGTCTACGCCAAACGTTAACTCCGCCCGAGTGTGCCGATTGTACAGGTGGAATTCGCGCCTGCCACCCCTTCGTTCGCTTCGGCTCAGTGGGTCCACTCATCAGCACACCCTTCTGTATGTGCTGTCCGCATGCTACTTCACCTATTTACTCCGACCCGACTTTGTGGCATGTGCCAAATGAGTGAATCTGACCGGCCGGACGGGGTTGGAGGGGACGGAGAATGGGGAATGGGGGATGGCGACTCGATGTGATAAAAAGGCGCCTTTCTATCCGAACTGGCGAAACGGAATTTCACTAAGGCACGTTCTATCCGCATGGCTCACATTCACGAGCCAATGTACATGAACGATGGTACACTCCGATGCACGCTAGCCCTTTTACAGGTGGCCCAATCTCCTGTATGCATCCAGGCGGAGTAGTACACACATTCATTCATATGTGAACCTCGGAAGCAAACAGGAGCTGGCCTGCTGAGGTTAGTTTGGGGCCAAGCATCGGAGAAGGACAAACATTAATAAGCAAGCTAGCCGTGGCTAGAGGGTTCGGGGTTGGGGTTCTTTGATCGCACACGTGACAAGGCAAAAATACACAAAGCTATTTGCCGTCAAGCGCAACTAGATGATCAATTTAGAGTGTCGCCCTCTGGTCGATTCAGAATACAGAAAGGTAGAAACCTCAAAGCCTGCAGCTCTCAAGTCATGGGCATCGAGCGGCCTTAAAGCCTAACGATAAATTTGCGTATAGATTCGATTTCAAGACTATCAGTAACACTTGAATAGGGCTCCTGGTCACCCTCGGTCGCATAGGTGATGCAAGAATGTTTTCACATTGAATCTCATTTAGTCTTGCTCGCAACAAGGTATTCTTATCCAGACTGGACTGGGTCTCATCAGTACTCCCAACGGGAATCGAACCAGGGTAGTTCTGTACATAATTTTGACATGTTAACAATATGCCACATTTTCCTACGAGTGTGCGTAGGTCATAGGCCATGCATGAATTTCAAAGAAGGCCATATCGTTTATGGGGCAGACTTGTGTGTTCGCATTTAGTATATTATTTCATCGGCAATCCCAATAGAAAGTGTGATATGGGCCTTTCTTGACATTCAAATAGGTCCTATCAACCAGGGGCATTCATGGTGGTGTGGCGTAGTGGTAGCGTGTCAAGACTTTGCGCTGTACTACCCGAGTTCAATTGCTTCTGAAGATTCTGATTAGAACCGGACGAAGTGGAAACTGCAGTACAGTCCAGTCTGGATGAGAATAGATCTTTGAAAGCAAATTTATGTGAAATTCATTGGAAAAACTGTGCTAGCTCCAGAAACAGAAAATGGTCTATGGCGTCACTCTGCGGTAATCGAAATTCACTCGTGATGTTAATAAATCACGAAGTTACCCAATTGCCGATTGTGATAAAACTTCACCGGATTTAGGTTTAAATTTTTTTTGTAAAGTTGGGAATTCTAGGAAATTACGTTGCATTTAAGTGGTTTGACCTCTTTTACCCAACTTAGACATATTGCTCGGTACTCTTTAGAAGAATCTTGTTAATCCATAGGACAAAGTGGGAGTTAAATTTCCCACACAAGGGCCTAACATAAACTTCGCTCAGGCCTAGATATAAAGACTAAGATGTTGTGGCCTCTTTTTAGTCCTAATCACCTTTCGCTTTATGGAAGTTGTTCGACCTCATTTTCGCAACTTTGTCATGCCATAACTACTTCGGACGAGGTACATCCAACTAGGTTCCCTAGCAACACGACCAAGTTGCGAAAACAACTTTCATAGCCTAAGCTACCTTCGCTAGACTCTGCGAAAGCCATCAACAATAGAAGGCGTGAAGATCAGAATGATGTGGTCTAAACTATGGTTGCGGTCTTTTTCATTGTATAGAAGTGGTTTGACCTCGTTTTCACAAAGTGGTCATTTTGCCAGCACATCCTAAATGAGCGCACCTGTTTGGAGTCCTCTCCCATGCTACCCATGATGATTTCCAGCTTCAGAATGTGGGCTATGTATACTTTAAGAAATTTCGCCAGCATCGTCAGAGAGTCTTGCTATTTTGACAACCACACACTTGGAAAAAAAATATAATTTTTGCTGCTGAGTATTGCAAGACTCATTTGCGATGCTGACTGCAATGCAGACAAAATGTCTATAAATGTGTCAAGTCCACTGTCTGGCGCTAAAAATTATTATAAATACTACGGCATAGGAGTCTGGACAGGTTGCATTTTGTATGACATTATGATCAGGTTATGCAAAAAAAACAAAACACTTATAGACATGAAAGAAGACTACAATCATAGTTACGACCACTACATATCTGTCTTCGCACCTTCGACTGAGCTGTCCTATCCATGAATGTCTGACATTGCTCAAATTATTATTCGTTCACAAGTAGTCTTTCGAGACTACCAGTAGATAATTTATATGAGATGTATGTATCCTATTTCATTTGAGGTGAAAAAGGGACTGATAGTGGAATTTTCCAACAATGATATTAGTAGACATTACTTTTCTATTTATTTTTATATATCCTTGCTTGCCCATAAGGTATTCTCATCCAGGATGGACTGCAGTTTCGGCCTCGCCTAGGTCTTATTAACACATCTAGCGGGACTCGAACGATGAACGTTCAGTGAATAATATCGACGCGTTAACCACTACGCCACATTGCCACGAGTGCCTTTGGGTCACAGATATATGTGAATTTTAAAGAAGGCCAGGCATTTTTCCGTATCACATTCTGTAGTGGGATTTTCGTTTTTTCTTTGTGCTCATGAGCTTCAAGAGAGCTGGTGAAGAAGCACTACAATTTGGCGTGAAAATAATTTGCTCAGCATTACTATCGAATGATGCCTCAAACATTATTTCAGTGTATATAATTAGCTTTTTGAACTCCCAATAGACCCTATATTCTATATCTATTCACCCTATTTAATTTGAGGCTTTGAAAACCTACTTATAGATGAAAAATAAGCAATGTAATTGATAACTATAGCAACTTTGCTTCTTCGGCAATCCTGCTACAGAATGTGAGATGAGAAATGGCCCTGTCTTCCTTGAAATTTCCATATATTCTATGGTCCAAGGGCATTTGCGGTAATGTGGTACAGTAGTTACCGTGTGAAGATTGTATACTGTAGTATAACGGCTTGAGTCCTGCTCTGAGTGCTGATAAGGTCAGTTGAGGCGAGGTCGAAAATGCATTTCATTCTTGCCTGAATGAGAATACCTTTTGACAAGCAAAACTGTAAAATCTAATGAAAAATAATGGTCTATTCATAGGATTGTTGGGAAATTTAGCAGC